TTTAAAGCTTTGTATTCATCAAAGAATGCTGAAAAATGCATCATGTTTACCCAAAAATACCTAGCAGCACAACTGTAACATTGATAATAATAAGAAATATATATTGAGCAGCAAATCAGAATATTACAATGATTTCTGAAGACACTGAAGGCTGGAGTAATGATGCTTCTTTACCATCACAGGAATAAATTACATTTTAATATGTATTCATATAGAAAACTCTTATTTTAAATTGTAGTAATATTTCAGAGTATTACTATTTTTTACTGTTTTTCATCAAATAAATGCAGCCTTTGTGAACAAAGGGACAAACTGAATGGTAGTGTTTATGATTATTCTCATTCAAAGAAAACACTGGATTTAAGCGTCAGAGCCTTAGATTAAAGAGTTAGTTCACCCAAAAATGAAAATTCTGTCATTAATTACTCACCCTCATGTCGTTCCAAACCCATAAGACCTTCGTTCATCTTCGGAACACAAATTAAGATATTTTTGATGAGTTCTGAGAGCTTTCTAACCCTGCATAGACAGTAATGTATCTGAAATATGCCCAGGTCCAGAAACATAGTAAGGATATCGTTAAAATAGATAGTCCATGTGACACCAGTGGTTCAACTGTAACCGTAATAGTAACAACAATTCTGAGAGTACCACAACGCATGCGTACTCTCATGAATGGCGACGGACGGTAATGTGGAGGAGAAGAATTGTTGAACAAAGTCATTATTTTTGTTTTATTTGCACACAAAAAGTATTCTTATAGCTTCATAAAATTACGGTTGAACCACTGATGTCACAAGGACTATTTTAACAATATCTTTACTATGTTTCTGGGCCTGGGCACATTTTAGATACATTACTGTCTATGCAGGGTCAGAAAGCTCTCGGATTTCATCAAAAGTATCTTAATTTGTGTTCCGAAGATGAACGAAGGTCTTATGGTTTTGGAACGACATAAAGGTGAGTAATTAATGACAGAATTTTCATTTCTGGGTGAACTATTCCTTTAAGGTTAAACAATTATGATGCAGATAAAATTGTGTGCACAGTGTAAATGAGAACCTTCACAATAAAAAAATGTTGCAGCTGCTGTTGATTAAAAAAAAATTGCTGTACAGATTTTCTTTGCTCTACTGAAATTAAACAGATCTGTGACCCTAAAACTGAGGTACATACTTCAGAAATTCAATTTTGTGTTTAACTGGAAAACAACAGAATACAGGTTTGGAATGAAGATGAGTAAATAATGAAAGAATGTTCCTTTATAGATGAATTATTCCACTGAAACTAATGCTTTAATTCACTCTTTCTGTAAACAGTATTACAGTGAAGTACTCTTTACTTGAAGGTTATTCTGAAATAAATGCCTCTTACAGGAATCATCTGAAAGAGTGGGCATCCCAGAGGAGGTGATCAGGATGAGGAAGGAAGTGAAGAGGACGAGGGTGCTGATCATCAGTAAAATGGCAGAGCAAGTGGCTTCTCTGAAGAAGAAGAAGGGTCAGGAATCTGAGGTGAAGGAAAGCCAAGAAAAAGCAGCGGAAATCATGAAAGAAATCAAGGCTTTAAGGAGCCTTAAACTGGATCAGGTGACCATGACTGCACTTCAGGAGAATGTTGACCTTGAGAAGGTTTTGCAGGACCCTCAGGCAAGCCCAGTGGACAGAGCCATTGCACATATCGCCACACATTCCCGCTTCATCCACAAGCTCCAGAAGGTCAAAGAAACCATCAAAGAAGAAAGAGCTAAGGCTGCTGAAGCTGAGCAGAAGAAGACTGACAAACTGGATACGGTGCAGTCCAAGAATGAAGATGAGGAACCAGAGGAGGAACCTGAGGAAGATGAGGAATCGGAAGAGGAACCTGAGGAAGACGAGGAACCAGAGGATGGCCACAGCAGTGGTCACAGTGAAGAGGATGGTGATGTGGTAGAGGAAAAATTGAACAGTCCTACCACTGAGATCCATACGTCTAGTGTTGCAGAGCCAACAGAAAGTACAGATTCTGATCTTGTAAAGGTGCCACCTTCCAAGATTATCACAACAGAAAAATCTAAAAGGGTCGAAGTTAAATCAAAGAAAGCAGAGGCCACGTCTCCTAATGTCAAAAGTTCTCCCGAAAAGTCTTCAACTGTAAGTAAGAAGAACATTGGTAAAGCAAGCAAAGAAATGGAGACCACCTTAAAGCCACAAAAGAAAAAAGACCTACCTGAGTCTAAGAGGGTTGAGGCAGAAAAAGACAAGGAAGAGAGTGATTTATCAGATGAGGAGGAAGAGAAGGAATATTTCGATGACAGCACAGAGGAACGTTTCCATAAGCAGTCGTCTCAGTCTGAAGAGAGTGATGATGATGACTTCTTTCTGGGCAAAGTTAGCAAATTCAAGAAACGGAAAAGTAACCAAGGGAAAGTCGAGGAGAAAAAGAGTGAGCTTCAAAAAACTGACAAGGAGGCCACCAGCAAACCTCATGAGACAAACCTTGGCAAATTACAGTCTGTGTTTTGCTCAGCGTTGTCCAAATCTAGCGTGTCCTCTCAGAAAGCAAAGTTTGGCTCTCGCAGTGATGGCCCAAGACCTCCTCGATTCCAGAACCAGAGGAAAGGTCCTGAGGGTAGGATGAAAGCATCTCAATATAAAGGCCAAGACCTTGGCGCTGACAGGAGGACGGGTCCATTCAAACCCAACAGAGAGACTTTTAAAGTTGCTGAACAAAAGCAAGCGGGACCTTCAGGGGCAGGGAGGGGAAGGCCACAGTTTGAGCAGAAGCGGAATCCCAGAGGTCCACCTGGCAGGATGTCAGACCCACCCCAGCAGTCCCTTCATCCCTCATGGGAGGCTAGCAGGAAGAGAAAGGAACAGCAGGCACAAATCACAGTGTTCCAAGGGAAAAAGATCAGATTTGATGATGATGATGATTAAGAAAAGGCTGCTCAAATTCATTTGATGCATTTATATTTTAAAACTTAAAAATTCTTCCTGTTAAACTATTTACTGTGAATTTGTATTAAAACACAGATGTAAAACAGCTGTTCTTTTGATTTGAAATAAAGTCCCTCTTAGTGTTATTTTACTATAATTTCTACAATATTTAATACAATTTTAAATTAGTTTAGTTTCCCTGTCATGGACATATATATTACTGTTAAATACGTTTTCATTGCAAAATTAGATGCAAATTATATTTTCTGAAAGGTATGATGTCCCTTTCCTAAACAGGGTTATTTGTCAATTATACACGTATATTTTTTTCTTATTTGGAGAAAACTGTGATATTTGGATGCAGTTTTTTGTTTGCATGTTATTGCCCCCCACACCTATTGAACACACTGGATTATATAGATATGATTGAATTATTATTATTTAAAATATTATTGTAAAATATCAAGATGACAGGGTGGACACATAATGCAGAACACACAAAGCATGACAAAATATGACAATGAAACATTTATTCAACTTTGAAAAAATAATATAATAATAAAATTAGACCCTCAATCACACTGATATGTGTTCAATTTAGTTTTTAGCAATATTAACTACAAATGAATGCTATGTCCACCCTGTCATGTGCATGTCCACTCTATCGAGTCTAAGTGGCCAACAGGGTGGACATTTTGAGCTTCAATTAGCATATTAGCTTACAACAAACGGTGGCTTGCTAAATATTTAGTTTGGTTGTTGAAGAGAATTTGGTATATTTACACTTAAATATTTTGAAAATACTGTATTCTAATCACTTCTGGCATATGTTATGGCGACAGGGTGGACATGTTAAGCTTTGACAAAGCAAGTAAGCAAACTCAGACGAAGAAAATTTGTCAGTTGAAAAGTCACCAACTTACTCACCTCAGCTGTTGAAATTCCTGCCACTGAAGAGACAAAAAAAAATCTGTTGTCCTGTCATTAAAGTTGATGGCCTTTTCTTAAAGGGGTGGATTCCCCAATACGACAGGGTGGACAACCATTCAGGGACATGGACAAACTCTTCTTTTTTTATTAAATAAAAATATCGTTTTTATTACCAAATTATCAATACACTCAAATTGAGTAATCTCTTATTTAACAAAATATTAATAGGGGAACAAAATTTTTTTTATTTTATGATTTGACAATATGCTACTATCATTTAAATTTAATGAGCAGTGCATGGGACATAGCAAAATAACACGCATCCTCTTACACAAAACTAAAAAAAAAAAAATCTAGAAAATGTATCTAAAGAGCCAAGTAATGCTTTTGTTATGAATATAAAAACTTAGCCTAATACACCCTTTCATAGTCATTTTTATTTTTTATTTTTTTAAGTTATCATGGCAAATTAGTTATTTATGTACAGGACGCGAAAAGGCACCCTACAGTGATATTGACCCTAGTAGTAATTTTGGTGTTTTTTTTAATTTTTATTATTATTCTTATCTCACTTTTAGTTTTAGTAATTTTAGTACAACAAATGCTGCCTTGCCAGGAACTGAATTAAAATATCTTGACGTTTTATTTATTTTATTTCATTTAATGTTTATATTATGGAAATTAACAAATAGTTTTTAATTTTGCTGTTTCTTTTGGTTGTGGGTAACAAAAACTCTCAAATGCTTTTTTTCAAACATATTTTATGAGCTTCTTTGGATTTATGTACATTTTGTTTAATGTTTACGTTTACGTGTCTGTTAGAATTACGCGTCTGTTAGATTTATTTTTCAGTTCATTAAAATAGCCTATGTAGTGCACTAAGAATGTGTCGGATATCTAACGCCCTCTAGAGGACAAACGGGTGTATTAAAAAAAAAATCTGCCATCGTGCGTTTTCATTGGCTCCACTATACCTACACGTCAGCACTTGAGGGCGGAAAACAGAACGGTGCTGGCGAATGATTTCGCGTATGCAAATCCGTTTCAAATATTTCCCGGGAAATCTGAGTTTCGCGGGAGGACCTTTCGCGCGTAAACCTCATCCCCTACTTCATTGTCCGCTTCCTGGAGCCATTTTTCGCTCATGCGAGAGGGAGTTTGCATCGCATTTTAATCGCTTACATCGGGTGTATTAGGCTTTAGCAATTTCACTCATATTACAGCAATGCGTTCCTAACACTGTGCGCGTTCATCATTTATGATTATTTTATATCCACTCGCTCGGATTAGAGAGAAAACGAGCCTCAAAGCACAAGTGGGACAAAGGGAACCTGCGCCTCTGAGGATCATGAGAAAGGGGTGTTCCTCGGTCCCAGGACAAGTAATGTTAACAGGGGTTGTTAGAGGTGAACAACACGGTGTTTTTAGTGCGGTTTCCGATCGACGGTGTGCAGCTTATTCCAGTGCAGCCCGTATACAAATAAACACACCGCCGTCCACTAATAATGTCTGTGTGCCCGAGGCTTCTGCGGACAGTTTGTACACAACTCCTCTACAAGGAGCGACACCTGGAACAGGACTGCGACCCACACTAGGACGACCACCGGTAAGTGTCTGCTATAATTATGTGTTTAAGTGTTGTACATTCAGTCCTGTAAATGTTAAGTCGTTAGGCTAAGTCCGCTTAGCTTACTTCTGCTGTCATCATGGCTACTGCTGGAACTGCGTTATGTGCATTCAGTATCTGGAGTAGGCAGGTTTATTGTGCAAAACGAATCAGCGCGTTTTAGATACTTAACTGATTAAGACCTTTATTGAATGTCCCCCAAAAATGCGTAATGACGCATGACGACTGTTTACCACAAACAGACATGCATATTTCCGCAATGTAGTCCCTGCTGTTTTTACGATTTAGCTTTAACTGAATTAGACAATACGACTGTAACTGTATGAGACAATATGCTTTATTGCATTGTTGATTTTAAACTAAAAATAACAATAGTGTAGTATTTGTAACTCGGTTGGTTGTCCAGTTGCACGCCTTTTAAAGTTTTCTTCGAAAGCTCGAGGGTTGCTGCTGTAAATCGCTTTATATAGGTCTGATATCGATAATATGAAGTGTACTATCGATTAGATATGGTCGAATATAAGTCTAAGAGTCTGCTTAACTCGCAAAAGCTTGAATTAGTGGAGTCTAGGCCCTGGTTTGTTGTCTTAGGATGGGGGATGGAGTCAATTCTGAGCTCGCGGACTCTGTGCTAAGCCAAATGCTTTGCTAACTGTTGTTTTTATCGTTATTTACTGCTAAAACTCCTGACTGGCATCTCTTTAGGAAGTAATATGGCATACGTGAGGTCGATGGTTTTCATATTACTCAAACTTAAACGGCTTATCAAGAGATCAAACTTTTGTTTTATTGGGTTCAGGACATGAAACGATACAGCAATTATAACTACTTCTGACTTAACAAATTTAGATGAATTCAATTTAAAAACGACAAATGTAAAACTGAAGTGAATTGCAAGTGAAAAAAAAAAACATGGGTAGGAAAAGCAGATGGGGATGAATGAGGGAATAACAATAAAGCTAATAAAATAATGTCATACAAGATTAATTCAGATTATGTTGTGAATATTAATCATAAAACCATAAAATTGTGAGGCTAAATATACAATTATGAGCATTCTAATGTTAATGTAATGTTGATGTAAAAAAAAAAAGTTGCTCATTTTGAGACTTTAAAAAAAAAAAATTTAGGCTTACTATTTGTTGGTGTTTTTTTCTCCTACAAAATGTGAAGGTTTACAAAAATCTATTATCTCTTTTGTATAGAGACGTAGCAAGTTATAACTTGACACGTAGGACCTTAAATTCAGCAAATCTGATTTTATCAAACTTTTTTGATAAAACATATATAAAGAAAGTTATTTTTTTTTACCCCAAATACAAAAAATATGCATTTTATCTATACATTTACACAAGCTGCAATGCATGTATGCATTTTTGCAGCACTTTAAAAGTGCACTTCCTATGACATCAAACTGTGTTTCCTATTTAACACATTATGATGACAGCAGTGTTTTTGCAACATGCAAAACGCAAAAAATAGATCTCGACTGCATCTATAATTATCTGGGGGGTCAGTGGTACTTTAAGTTTCTCAGTGGTCACTGAGTTTAAGGCTTTGGTAATGGAGGACTGCCATTTTGCTTCCCCCTGCTCCAAGTGTGTTGACTTAAGTGTTGTATTAGGTAAAACTAATATCTGCTGCTTTTTGTGAGAGATGATTCCTGAATGGTTGGCAAAAAATTGCACTTTTAGGCACTTACAAGGTGTTACTCTTGATAAATGTACTTTTTAATGGCCACAGACAATATATTGGCAGAATTTGTGATTTATTACCCAATAATGTTGCCAACTTTTCCAAATAACGTAAGTGTTGGGTTCAGTCCACTCAGACATTTCTATGAATAATGCACGCGATCTGTTCTTAAAATGAGGACATTGACTAGCTAAATATTGCATAAAATTGGATTTTTAGCTTTTCTGTGCATTTCAATTGTGTAGTGCTTATACTGTATATGTAATCTTAGTAACCCTGAAAGATTGGGTCACCTTTCATATTTGATTTTCTTGAAACAGGCTAAAAGGAGACTGGAGCTGGACATCACAGACCACCAATACAGCGAGCCAGCTAAAACCCTTCGGAGTCGCAAAGGAGCTCTTAAACTGAAGGTCCCCAAAGGTATAAAGTTCATTCTGTCGTTCCACGGTTTTGCTGATGTGATAACCGTGTTGAGCCACCTAATATTAAGTTATACCATATAATTACATCACCAACCAACCCTCCTTCATTCTGCTGCAGAGTTATGAATGATTAAATGACCTCTTACATTTCAGCTCCCAAAACCCCGCCGGAGAAGACCCGATACGACACATCCTTGGGATTCTTGACTAAAAAGTTCTGTCAACTGCTTGCGCAGTCCTCGGATGGAGTGCTGGATCTCAATAAAGCCGCCATTGTGCTCAACGTCCAGAAGAGACGTCTGTATGACATCACCAACGTGCTGGAGGGGGTGCGCCTCATCAAGAAGAAGTCAAAGAACAACATACAATGGCTGTGAGTTACTTAAAAGTGTGGCTTGCGTTTAGCAACGCTGATTATTTTGGACGTTTAGTATATTTGAGCTCCTAGTTTAGATTTAAAGAATTTTAAGAGTTGACTTTTTTTCTTTGCTGTTTGCAGGGGCTCCAGTTTGCCGTCAGAGGGTGGGCTTCCATCTCCAGCCATGCAGAGTCACAGCCTGGCCAGAGAGATGCTGGCGCTCAGTCAGGAGGAGAGACGCCTGGATGAGCTCATTCAGACCTGCACGCGTAACGTCCAGCAGATGACTGAGGAGATACACAGTCAGAAATATCCTTTATTAGCACTCAGCTGTACTTTCTCAAGTGTGTAATGGCCACTGAAGATCAGAAAACGAGAGCACTGGAAGGAATGAAACTAATTCCATGTTTTGTCCTTAACCATTCTCACATATGCTTATGTGACCTATCAGGACATCCGAAGAATAAAGAGCCTAAAAGACCAAACCGTCATAGCGGTTAAAGCTCCATCTGAAACAAAGTTGGAGGTGCCTGACCCAAAGGAGGTAAACAATTTTTAGTTTTAGTTTATGCATATTAAAGGGGTGGTTGATTTGCGATTTCACTTTTTTTAACGTTACTTGGTGTGTAATGTTGCTGTTTGAGCATAAACAATATCTGCAAAGTTACGAAGCTGAAAGTTCAATGCAAGCGGAGATATCGTCTTTTAAAATTCTGGCAGTTTGATGCCTACAAAAATGTCTCTTAGGGACTACGAGTTACTTCCCAGGTTTGTGACATCACAAACCCAGATAAACCCCGCCCCCAGGAACATGCAACAAAGGGGGCGAGGCCCTGTTGTGCTGCTTTAGAGAAGAGGAAGAGTTGTTGCCATGCCGTTAAAACTAGGGTTGCACGAAAACATCTATTCATATATGAATCGCGATTCTGTCTTCTAACGATTCTAATGGATTCACAAGTTTCAAAATCAATGTTCTAAAGCAGCGGTTCTTAATACTGTTCCTCGCGTCCCCCTGCTCTGCAAAGAGTGAAAAATTTAAGGGGGTCTGAATACTTTCCGTACCCACTGTATATGACTTTTCTTTCAGACAAATACAATCAGGGTTATATTAAATGTCCTGGACTGCATTTCCCAAAAGCATCGTAAGCTTAAGTACATTGTAGACCCTTTGAAACCAATGGAGCTACGATCAATTTAGGCTTACGATGCTTTTTGGAAACGCGACCCTGGCTCTTTATAATGGCAGTGAATGGCTGTTGAGATTTTGAAGTCCAATAAAGTGCATCCATCCATCACAAAAAGTGCTCCACATGACTCAATTTCGTATACGCGTTCAAGAGAGAGTGGCGTTCCAGCCGATGACATAGTGTAAGCTCCAGTGAGAAGTGAAGAACGCAGAAGCGCAGTGGAGATCAAAACAAAACACCAGTCACAAATTAGAAGTATAAAACAGGGATTTGTAAAGAAAAATGTCTGGATTTTGATATAAGCCAAGAGGAGACTGGTTTTCCTTTGCTGTAAACAAAACTTGGCTCTCAGGAGACTAGCATATTCTCACCGGACATCCTAATCATCTGCTGGAACGCGTGTACAATAGTTAGTGGAAAATCATATGACATACGTCTAGGATGGCTTGAGGGTGAGTAAATCGTGAGGTAGTTTTCATTTTCCAAGTGTATGATATAGCTATCATTCTTCAGGTCAACCATATATTCTTGGAAAAAAAAAAAAAAGCAGTTTGAATAAAGAAAGCAATAACTTTGCCATAGTGTCCTAGAACATAGTATCCTTTCAAATGTTAAAGTTTCCACAGTCATTGCATGCTTTGCATGTGCTGCCCCGCCCCGCCCCGCCCCCGGAAAAAAGTTTTTTTTGCTTTAACCCCTGTGATTGTTCCTGATTGGTCAAATGCACAAAAGTATGTCAAAATGCCCACCTTGGGGTTCGGAGAGCATCGGGGGGTGCTGGAAGCAATATTTCTGAAGGGGGGGGCGCTGAAGTGTTTTTGAGGGGCGTTTGGTTAAGGCGAGTTTACACCAAAGATGTATGAGCTGAAGCTTGCAAAAGAAAATGGTCTGCGACATCCTAACGCCGTCTCTACACTGGATGCATCAAAGCGCACTTTCTATATCCGATTGTCAACTTGTCGGTAGCGCGTGGAGTGCGGCATCCGTTTATGTAGCGCTCGCGCTCAGATACTGAACCACTGATTATAATCAGGATCTGTGTGCTTTGACGCAACGTGTCGCAACGTTCGCATCCGGTGTAGTAGTGTTAGTTAGGGTAAGGCGCTAGTTTACACGAATACTACCGTTTCTTAACTATCATTTCCATAGCTTTCTGTAACGCAGCTGCCAGACTTCCAATGAAAACAATAGCAAACATTTAGACACGTTAAAGCACATGCTTTTTCTTTTTTAGAAAAATGTATATGAATGCTTTTTGTTTGCAGTTTGGCTGCGGTTGGTTTGAATGCCAAATTTCAAGAGTTTATTCAAAGCTTGCAAAAGAAAATGGTCTGCCACATCCTAACGCCGTCTCTACACTGGATGCATCAAAGCGCACTTTCTATATCCGATTGTCAACTTGTCGGTAGCACGTGGAGTGCGGCATCCGTTTATGTAGCGCTCGCGCTCAGATACATAACGACTGATTATAATTAGGTTCTGTGTACTTTAACGCAACGTGTCGCGCCGTTCGCACCCGGTGTAGTAGTTAGTGTAAGCCACTAGTTTACACCAATACTACTAACTGCTTCTAAACTATCATTTCCATAGCTTGCTGTAGCGCAGCTGGCAGACTTCCTGTGAAAACAATAGCAAATACTTTGACTAAGGCTGGACGATATGACCAAAATTTATATCACAGTATATTTCTTAATTTCGGTCGATACGATATAATTCCGATATCGATATGAACAAAAGCCTCAGAAAAACTGCCAAGAACTCCCACAACAGATGTCTGTACCTACAAACTTTTGAAAAATAAATTTGCCAAGTCTCTGAAACCTCCTATAAAACTACACTACCAGTCAAGTTTTTGAACGGTAAGATTGTTAAAGGTGACATATTATGAAAATCTGAGTCTTCCAGGTTTTAAGTGCTATAATCAGGTGCATCTATCAATCAAGGAAACGTGAAAAAGATTAACCCAGTAACTTTGTTTTGGTAAGCGTGTTTCTGCTTCCACTCAAAATAGGCATTTTCAAAATTATATAATAAATGATCTGTGGGGTATTTTGAAAAATTTTTTTTTACTATTTAAAATAACTGTTATCTATTCGAATACATTTTAAAATGTAATTTTTTCCTGTGGTTTCAAAGCTAAATTTTAACATTACTCCAATCAAATTATCCTTTAGAAATCATTCTAATATTCTGGTTTGCTGCTCAAAAACATTCATTATTATGTTGAAAACAGCAGAGTAGATTTTTTTTTTCAGGTTTCTTTGATGAATAGAAAGTTCAGAAGAACAGCATTTATCTGAAATAGAAATCCTTTGTAACATTATAAATGTCTTTATCATCACTTTTGATAAATTTAAAGCATACTTGCTAAATAAAAGTATTAATTTCTATAATTTCTTTCCCATTATATATATATATATATACATGCATGCATGCATGCATGCATGCATGCATGCATGCGCACACACACACACACACACTAGGGATGGGAAGATTCCCCGATTCGCTCGGTGCATTGGCATAAAAAGTTAACGATGCGATGCATCGGTTTAAAAAGTGCATCGGATACAAGTTGTCATTTACATCGCGATGCATCGTTTCTAACATATTTGCATCGGTAAAAACCGATTCATTTAGATGTAATTACTAGTGGATGCGCTATACTTTTATTATTTAGAAAGTGACTAATAATCTGTGACCAATATTTTATATGTAGATTGATTTCTCCTCTCTAAACTGTTTCTCAAGCGCGCTCGTTGGCTATGCATCGAGATTTACTCAACTGTTTTAAATATTGATAATAATGTTTCTTGAACAGCAAATCAGAATATTAGAATGATTTCTGAAGGATCACGTGACACTGAAGACTGGAGTAATGATACTGAAAATTCAGCTTTGCATCACTGGAATAAATTACATTTTAAAATATATTCAAATACAAAGCAGGTATTTTAAATGATAAAAATATATAACAACATTACTGCTTTTGCTGTATTTTGGATCAAATAAATGCAGGCTTCCTTAAAAACATGAAAAATTTTACTGTTCAAAAACTTTTGACTAGTATATCTAATATTTTAGAAAAAAAACGGCACAAATAAATTAATGTTCACCTTTTACTTGTATTTAGCCTTCATACAAACAAGAAATGTGAAATCACTGTCAAATAAATATAAGACTCTCAGGCTCACCTTAATATTAATATCTTTAAATTTAAACTATAACGTAGGCTGATTATTCTTATAGATTGAAAGAAAAGTGCTTCAGCCAGGATACAGAATATGAAAAATGCTCAGTTTCTGCAGAAAATGGAAACCGAGTGAGCAACAACAAAAACATGTTACTGGAGACGAGCTAATTCTCTGCCAGCAGGAGGCTCTTTAGAGCGGTTTCCCCGGTAACGGCTGTACACAAAACAGCGCTCCGCTCTTGAACGCTGCTTTTTCAGATGAAAATGCCATCAAAACTTTTCTGAAGACAGTCGGTTCCCTTCAAAGATACATTCATATAAAACACCCGTGCCACATTTTGATTTTGAAACGTGCAGTGCTCATGTTTATTCAAGGAAGTCAGCCGCCACAAATAAATCAATGCATGACTGAGAAACACCGGTAATATCGAAATATCGGAAATGTGTTTAAAAATCATATCACCGTTATTGAAAAAATATATATCGCGATATATATTGATATTGAATTATTGTCCAGCCCTAACTTAGACACGATAAATCACGGTATGTTTTTTCTTGTTTAGCAAAATTAATAAACTTTTTAATTTTAAAGGGTTGGAACTGAACTCTGCAGGAAGGTAGATCTCCAGGACCAGGGTTGGGCACCCCTGGCCTATATAGCATGGTGTATTGTTATTTGTAATAATAAAAGTTCTGGTTTATATTTAGGCTAAGTGAGTTTGACATTGTATTTTGTTGCTTGAATTGTATTGAAAGTGAATGTAAAATGCGCACTGCGGTTTTAAGCTATTTAAAAGTGAAGGATAGCAAAGAAAAGAGGGAAAACTCAAATGAACTGAAAACGAACAGTTACTTTACGCCGAATTGCAGCTAATTTGAAAGTAAATGTAAAATGCGCACAACCCTACCCTCAAAGAAATCAAGACAGAAGTGACTGAAAGTGGACAGAAGAGACCAAAAGCGATTGTAAATGGGAATGCGTCTCACTTGTCTACTTGTGCTCGGGTTGACCAAAATGCTTCTCAATACGCTTGGTGTAAATGGGGTCTAATAGTTACTAGGGCTGAATGATTTTGGAAAATCTAATTGTTTTTTTTTGTTTGTTTTGTTTTTTTTAACCAATATTGCGATTGCGATTTTCATATGCAATTATTTTTTAGAGCTCTTTATGTTCTGTATTATTCAACAAAGACAAGCTATAAATAATTGTGTAGTATGACCAACACAATATTAGATTAAACATAAATGTTCTTTTCTGTTGGCCAGGCCTATATGTTACGATGAAATTAGGTGATTCATGAATTGATATGAATGACTATAATCAGTGATGCTGTGTACACTGGATGCGACACGACAAAACCCCGACATTAAACTGATGCCTTGTTCTATTTATGACGTACTGACATAAAGTTAAAATGATTTGCAACGGTCACTTTATCACGTCCAGTGTAGTGCTGTTGCGGTGCAACACGACAACTGTCGTGTCCGGTATAGACGCGGTGAGTGAAGCCGAGAGCACGATATGCCTCGTCATATTTTCTGCATTTAGCTTTTAAATGACCAGCACCTGCCTGGGTCTGTGCGACTTCATCTATGGCTTTTCTCTTCCCTTTCACAAACCGATCCATCTCCCATTCTAAGTTACGTCCTTTGGCTGTTTACGGTTTTATTTCTTTTCTTTTTCTGCTGATGGGAACCTCTTTACTCTCGCGTGTCACGTGACCGAGTGTAATCGCAGCCTCTGCGATTGAAAAATCGTGTTTTTTCATATCGCGATATTATCGCAAATGCAATTAATCGTTCAGCCCTAATAGTTACTTTGGATCTAGTAGAGGCAGCTCATTTAAGTGAAAATGATTTGTATTTGTTCCATGTATTTAAACTCCTTTTTAATGTCCATTCAGAGTCTACAGGTCCACCTGAGTAGCTCCAAGGGTCCCATTGATGTTTTCCTCTGTACGGACGGTGGTGACTCCGGGAGCCTGCTGCAAAATGGCCTTGATGTGAATGGAAATCACCCTAAGTTTCTCAAAGTCTCCCAAGGCAAGAACTTCTACAGCAAGCAATACCTTGGTTCTTCCAATAAATTTCATCCTTTCAAGTATTTTTTTTTCCTGTTCTTCATTTCAGAAGCTGCTACAGATGGAATGGCTGATGGTGTGAAGATGAACGGCAGCTCAAACGGTGGCGTCAACGGTTATGGGCCCCTGACTGAAAGTGCCCCCATGTCACCCCTCAGTTCCTCCTTGTCTTCCATTCTCCAGCAGCCGGAGGAGTCCATCCCCTTCGTGCCGCTGTCCCCTGCTCTTCTCAGTGATGAATACATGCTGGGATTGGGTGATGAGCAGGGCATAAGCGATCTGTTTGACTCCTGTGACCTGGACACGCTAGCACTGGATGACCTGCTCAGGATATGAGCGATCAGGTTAGTTGATGGTGCTGCTTAGCTCCTGAATGAAATCTGGATTGGCGAGATTGGTGGGCATAACTATGTGGATGAACTACAGACTGAACTTCATGAATTCTAGAGTTGTCCTTGTCGCATTTGACATTGACCGTTTACGCATGGATCTCACTGCTACGGGATCCAAGGTTTCTGTTGTCTGATACTGTACAGATGGGTTTCTGTATCCTAAAAAATGTCCTTTTAAAGTTATTTTTAGTGTGGTGAATTGCATGAGCTGTGTGATTTGTCTATGAACTTTGTCATATTGGTTTTCAAAATGGAGTATTTCTCTGCTCTCAATGTGGACGTTTCTGTCCATTTGTGAATCTCTTGCTTGCTTTCTTGGGGAAAAAGAAACATCTCCGCATCATAGGCTAGCTAAGTATCACAGAAGATCAGCGAGTTGTTTCTTTATTGAATGATCCAAAGTGCATTTGGTGCTCCTTCATTTAGTCTGCTTTTTGCCAGTGTTCAGCATCTCAGGGCACAGATCAAGGAGCGAGTGCTTTGTGTGATCTAGTGATCTCTGGGTAAAATCAAATCTGTTTTTCTGAGCTACAGTGTCTTATGCCTTTTGTTACCAAATGATTTTGTGCAAAGAAATGTTGTTGCATTTCGGTGTGATTTCTTTGTGTAAACAACAATGTAATGATTCTGCGAGTTCCAGTACTACAGTTTTGGCTCATTTTTTAAACTTTAGATTGGAAAGTGAACTTTGGATATGACCCTAATCTAGTCCCCCTTAATGTTGAATGTATTTCAGTATCTGGATTGCACTGAAGACTGAAGTCTTACTTAAGCCATCATGGACATCTGTGGCGTAAATCGCCACATGATTATGAAACATTTAGTGTCCCATGGAGAATTGTAGGTTTTTCAGTAGCTTTATTTTTTGTAGCTTTAATTAACCAGCATTATTTCTCCTCTTTTTCTTTGTCCATTCCAATAAATTAATTTTTATTTTTTCACATCTTCTGGAAAAGCCTCATTACATGCTTGTAAACAGGCCACTGTTCTAATACTTTTTCTATCCTTATTCCTGCAAATTAGACTGCCGATCCGTTACTTTAGTTGTATTTTCTATTTTTATTTTTTCACATCTTCTGGAAAAGCCTCATTACATGCTTGTAAACAGGCCACTGTTCTGATACTTTTTCTTCTATCCTTATTCCTGCAAATTAGACTGCCGATCCGTTACTTTAGTTGTATTTTCTGTAACCTTTTTAGGAGAGTTCATTTGTTTAATACTTCAAATGTGAAGTAACTTATTGCAGTTTTTGCTGTGGTTAAAGTAAATTATGGTACAGAATTTTGAATTAGTGCTAATGCTCACTAGTTCTCTTGATTCTGCATTGGAATGAGGGTGTTAGTCATGTATGCAGCCATATTGCATAGAAAATGTTATGATTAATCACCAGTATGTATTCTATTCTACTGTGCAGTTTGATTTACTCCAAAATGTAGATTTTGATTTAATTATTATTTTTTTTAAACAATTAAGAGGCAGTTTTGTGTGCCAATGTGTGCGAATATGTGAAGTTGTATGTGGATTGTAAACTGCGCATCAATTGTTTGCAAATTGTTTTTAATAAAGTTATGAATTTCTGCATATTCTGCCCTGCTGCTCTTGTGTAATATTGTATCACTTAAGCAATGATTTCAGTTTATATAACCAGTTCTATGTAAGTTCTTTGGTCATGCTACACATCAATCATTCAGAATGTTTCATTCTGAGGAGATGGTTATATATATTCATCTTTATTGGTTCTTGTGAGAAACTTCTCAAATCCTCAGTTAGGGCTGGACGATATGGCCAAAATTGATATCACGATATTTCTTACTTTCGGTCGATACGATATAATTCCGATATCGGTATGAACACTATTTATCTGAAATAGAAATCTTTTGTAACATTATAAATGCCTTTATCATCACTTTTGATCAATTTTAAGCATCCTTGCTAAATAAAAGTATTAATTTCTATAATTTCTTTCCCAAAAAAATAATAAAAATTATACTGAATGGAATAGTGAATAATGTTACAAAAGCTTTTTATTTCAGATAAATGCTAATCTTTGGATCGTTCTATTCATCAAATAATCCGGAAAAAAAAATGTACTCAACTGTTTTAAATATTGATAATCAGCAAATCAGCATATTAGAATGATTAGAAGGATCATGTGACACTGAAGACTGGAGGAATGATGCTGAAAATTTACCTATGTATGAAATGTGTTTAAAAATCATATCACCGTTATTGAGAAATTATATCGCAATACATATTGATATTGAATTGTCCAGCCCTATCCTCAGTGTTACCAAAAAAAAATTTATAAAAAAAGAACAAGATGTTGTTGCCTATAGTTTGACCAGTTTTGCCATTAGGATATATACTGTGCCACTTTAATTTTTATGATGTTAACAAGAAATTAGACTTATGAATCGAGATGTTTGGTATTAACTGAAATGAAAAGAAAATGTCATAAGGCCATGAGAGAAAAATTCTAGTGACCCATATTAGGAGTAAGCAGAATCACTGGGGAACTTCTAAATTTTCAAATAACATATTAAATATTAGAATAAATATTGAATGTGCTGTTGGATGAATCTGATGCATCCTGTGATGCCTGTCTTCCCCTCACTTGCCATTAGATGGCCTGTCTTTTTTTTTTATTTACGTCTTGATCAGTAGTTTTTGTTGTTCTCTGATTAGAATATATTCACTACTAATTTACTAGTAGTGAATATATACTAAATTTGTAGTAAATATATTTTTCTAATTCTGTTTTAATCTGATGCATCCTGTGATGCCTGTCTTCCCCTCACTTGCCATTAGATGGCATGTTCTTCATTTGAAAGAAGCACGTCTCAACAATAATCTTGACAATGTTGCACTCAAAATCAATGCAGTGCCATTTAATATAGATCTTACACTGCTTCTTTCAAAACCCAATGAGCACATATATATATTTTTTGGCTTGCATATTTACTTTACATTGCTTCCTTCAGTGCTTTGTTGCAAAATGAAATGCATTATCATAATTTCAAAACCATTTAAAGACATTTCACATCATTGCAGCCCTGGGGAGTAAATGTTTAATTTCATATTATTTTTGTGAGTCCCATGGCCATCAGCGCAGCCAGCATCATCAGAACGCACAGACGGACACGTTCTTCTACAGACGTCCCTTATCTCACCACGTTTAGACTAATGTGTCTCCGCTTTAAATCGGTCTTCTCTTTGTCTGCAAGAAGCAGCAGTGAATGGGCAGGCAATCTATGATGTAATTTGTTTTGAGTGGCGCCCCTCTCATCCGCCTGTAGGGGGCACTGTTGAGACACCAAAGAGGGCCCAGACACACTTAACCTAATTCCCCAGTTTTGCTCGCCAGACACTAGGTTCATGGAAAGTCACAGATTTGATCAGTTATTCAAATTATAGCATCCATCCAGCAGTTAAAACAAATGGCTGCAGCTGTTCTCATTGGTTATGTGAAAACTGATATTTGTGTGCCCTTGATTAATGCTTCATTCAGCTGCTGCAGTTGTCCGGTGGGAAATTTCAAGCCAGACAGTTGCAAAGCGCACTTTATTTTAGCCCAAGTGCTCATACAGCCACAACACCCGGCTGAACTGCCACAAACGATGGTTTTATGTTCTGGAGCATGTCATTCATTCCTCTAAACGTGTATAAGTGCTACAGTAAAGCTGGAGCGTACACGCTTCATACACGTGCGCATATGCACAGCATACGCTGCTCCTCATTCATAAAAGCAAATGGCGTGTTTTGATGGATATTGATTGGATGAGGGCTACGCTACGCTGCCATTCGCCGCAACCTATGTGGCCAATCAGAAGCGGGCTGCTCTTCATTCCCTCTGCTTTCTGTTTCAGAGTTTCAGTAGTGAGTCTGACTGCTCAACTGGATCCTTTTTTTTTTTGTTTTTTTTTATTTATTTATTTTTTTTGCCACACTGTGTTTGCAGCAATGGTCAGAGGTCTGTGGACACTATAAACAAGGATAACGTAATGCTGTAAAGCATCATAAAAAACCATATGCATCTGTTTGAAATCCATCTGCGTAGGTGGTCTTATACAGATTGATTTGTATTCATATTCCTAGGTCAGGAAGAGATGTTTGCACGCCATGAAAAGCAGTCATGTGGTCTGTATGTGCGAAGAAGTGTAGTAACGGATACCAAGGCAACTGAATGACAGGATGCTAGTGAAACTAACTACTATTGATATACTGTGCTATTTTTTGCTTCTTCTTGTTTGCAAGTTTGATTGAAATTATAATTTTTATCACATTAGAATTGCTTTTCAGCATTAGCTGAGTGATAGTTATGACAGGATGCTAGTGAAACTAACTGCTATTGATATATTGTGCTATTTTTTGATTCTTACATCTTGTTTGCAAGTTTCATTGAAATTATAATTTATATCATGCTTTTTTTAGCATTTGTCTCTTAGGAAAATTAGAATGGTTACCCAGCTGGAAATGTGTCTTTTTCTTTTGCTTCATTCACAGATGTTTGAGATTTAAACCCAGATGCCTCATTTGTGGACTACATTAGTAGCTGGACAGCTGCTGCTTCGGACTACTGACTGAATGACCACACAAAATATTATCCTACGTGTTTAGCATCATTTAAAATAAATGGCATGCCGTGGTTTTGTCAAAGAGCAAGCAAAAGCAAATGGGTGCTCGACTAAAAAAAAAACAAGTAGAAAAATTTATAAATGTAAAGTCGGCAACACCAAAGCTCCAAAAGTATCAAAAATGTATTTAATTTTTTCGCATAGCGTGTTACGTTTCGAGCACGCAGGCTCTTCATCAGACGGTCTGAAACATAACACGCTATGCGAAAATTGTTTAAATACATTTTTGATGCTTTTGGAGCTTTGGTGTTGCCGACTTTACATTTATAAATTTTTATGCCTTGGTTTGGTTTAATTTTTAGGAAATAGTTGTCTGCAGTTATTTGCATAGACATACACAGGCCTTATGTTGTGTATACTGAAAAAAACATGCTTAATATGCAAAAGTGTGAACTGAATGCAATGTTTTCTGACACTTAATTGTGTGTTAATTGTAAAATTGTATTTTAGTTTATATTTATATGAAATTCATGTAACTGAACATGATATTGTTTTTTTTTTTATTAATTAATTTATTTTTTGGACCCACTTAAGTAGGACGTAAGCACAATTTTGTATGTTTCTATAGTTTTGCAAATGTTTAATGTATTGCAAATATTTTGTCTTGTTTCCATTGTCTGGTGGATGTACCGATGAGCATTTATGGTAAACTAAAATGGACTTGAATGTAATTTCTATTGAAACTTGGTATCATGTATTTAAGTATATTTGTAATTACACATTTGTAATGAACAAGTTGCACTTTAGTACATTTAAAATATATATTAACTTTAAATGTTGAAAATTGCATTACAGTTAAAATTGTAATCAATTAAGTGAACTTGTTTAAAATATTAAAACAATTATTTAATTTGACATATTACATTATTACACTTAAATGTATACGTAAGAAATATAGTCATGAAAGTGTTTACTTGAAGCGCACTTAGCCTTTTAATTAATATTAAGATCTGAAGTACACTACAAGTACACATTAAATAGAACTAAGCGTACTTCTTTTCACAAGGGATTTTATAAGGCTGTTTGGTTGACACAGGAATTTGATTGATACGGATGTCAGGACACGTGTCTTTCCCCCAGATTGCCTCTGTTTGCCTATTGAACTTACATAAGATTGTTTAATTATTTATGTGTTTGATATGTACAGTGGGTACGGAAAGTATTCAGACCCCCTTAAATTTTTCACTCTTTGTTATATTGCAGCCATTTGCTAAAATCATTTAAGT